CCTCCCTAATAGGGCTATACACTGGTAAGCCTTGGTTAGCTAAGGTTAGCCTTGTTAAGCCTAGAGCGGGGTAACCCGACCTGCGGGGTATGCCGACCTTTGGTTTATGCCGACCTTACGCTACTATAAATATATAAATTATATGATAGTATTAAAGTAATTTAATTTTATTATTACAATTAATTTTCAAAAAAATATTATAACATAATTAAAAATTAAAGATATAATACTTAAAACACGATCATTCAGAAAACAGTAAAACAAAACATAAAATATAATAATTATCATTACCAATTAAATCAAACTTAAATTAATGTTAAATGAACAATGTAAATAGTGCCATTGAAGATAAATTTCTCAACATCAATTTTTATGGTGAGTTAAAATAATAATTATAAAGGATAAGATTGAAATATATATTAAGAATAATCTCATTTACAGAATATTCTGTTAAAATTGTACGTTATTTATTTGCGATGACTGGTGTACCCTCTGGTGGAGCCTCCAGTGTAACCATAAGGACGTCCAGTACCACCTGTGCCACCAGTGTAACCATGATAAGTTGAGTAATATCTGGGTGTTTGTGTTGACCCGTAATTGTGCCGTTTAGTACGGCCACTACGAGTGGGGCCGTGAGTAGTCCCATAACCCCTGGAACCCGTGCCGGTCCAGTATCTCGATGTAGACCCGCGGCCAGTAGTATACCGTCCGGTGCCGCCCGTGTCGTACGATTCTGTAGTGTAAGCGCAGACCATCGATACGCTTATTATAAGCACAAACGCCACGAGTGCTAAATATATTGACAATTAATAGTAATTAATATTGAAAAGCATTATTATTAGTTTATAATTTATTTATATTTATAATTATTAGTGAGTATTAATCAAAATATAAGTTAATGTAAAGTATTGCCTAAAAATACAGTACATTCCCTATGGGAGTCATAAGTTTTTGATTATAAATTAATACTAACAAATTGGTAATTTTCAAATTAATGTTTGTTACAGATTACCTCTCATTTTCCTTGTCGGTAAATTTAAAAATGCAAAATTATAACAATAGTTTATATTTGAAATGAAATTTTAAGGTTAAGACTTTTGAAATGATATAAGTTATAATTTTTAATGTAATATTATAACGTTCAATATATTGCTTATTTCTTTACACTAAATTGTATATTTCGTAAATTAAATGCAATACAAACGGTACATGTAATAAAATTGATATTTAATTAATTTATAAAAGTATGATATTTTATTATTTATATTATTTCATTTGTTATATTTATTACCATAATGTTTGTAAAAAATCAATATGTGGTACAAATACAACACTTATCTGTACAATAAATACATAATTGTTTTAATAATAAAATTAAGATTAAATATAAATTTTAAGAGAGAGAGAGAGAG